CACATAGGCAGAGCAGCGAGGCTGTATGAGGGTCTGAGCGGGAGGCCTGCCGCCCTGGGAGCCTAGGCAGGCGCGCTGGGGCAGGCGGGAGGCGGCGGCCAGCTTCCCAACCCCAGGCTCCTCTGGCTGGGAGAGGGCGGCCCTGCCTTGCCGAAGGCTTCGCTTTCATGACAAACTTCACACGGAAACTCGGAGTCCGGAGGTGCGGCTCCATGGACTCGACGCTGGACACGCCGGGCGTGGAAACGCCGGGAACAGGCCCCCATGGGCCTCCCGCCAGTCCCCACTCCCCACCCACGCCTCCTGCGTGCCTGGCTGCTGCCTCGACTCCGGAAGCTGGGGCCTCGCCCACGACAGCGCCTCTGGCGCCCGCCCGCCCACTCTCTCTGCACCCCGGCACCAGCTCTTCATCAACTGCTCCAGCCCAGCCTCGACAAACAACTCGGCTGCCCAAGGGCTCTGCCTCTGCTCCTGTCCACGTGGCACCACCTGCTGGACAGCAGGGCACCTGCCGGCGCCTGCTCCTGTCCCCACCGGGTGCACTGCCCACCCTGGGGCCGGCCTCCGGGGCCGCAGACCAGGAACTCCTCACGCCCTGTGAGGAGACAGAACCGGGCTTCGGGCCAGCGGGGTCACCGGGCTGGCCCCGGGGGCTGCCTGTCCCACGCCATGGCCAGTCGCCCTCCTGATGTCCCATTCTCCCTGGCCTGGCGTAAACACTTGCCACTGCACTCCCCGTCTCAGCCGGCTCCTGTTGTTAGAGCCACACACACACCGCCAACGCTGCGAACTCACACACAGAGGGCAGCTCCAGTGCATGGACCCGGAGCAGACCCGGAACGGCAGAGTGGAGAGCAAGCTGGCGCGGGGCGGGCGGCCAGGGCGAGGGCGTTCCCCCGCCGGCCACGTCCAGCCTCCCCGCCCTCACCTTGGCCGCCACGGCCTCGATGTTGGCGGGAACGATGCATTCGAAGGTGTTGGGGTTCTTCTCGCGGGAGTAGATGATGGTCTCTGTCTTCTGCTTTCTCAGGAACTCCTCTCT